CCCTGACTTTGTATTGTAGTGTAGACAGAAAACATTTTGAAAACGGAGCTTTTCGAAAACGAAGACGTCACGATAATCACGTGATTTCTTAAATTCCTGCGATATATAGTGTGTTTAAAACATTTGCTGCGTTTTCAGAGTGAAACCTCCGTTTTCACTGAAATTCCTCCGGTAGTGTGGACGGGGCCTAAAGGAGGCGGTGACATTAGCAGGCAACTTCTCAGAATGACCAATATCTACTTTCTCCTAACCATATCACTTAATTGTCAAGTACACAGTGGGAGAATATGAAAAATTCAAATTGCAAATAAAATGTTCGGATTTTTTGATTAGCAAAAATCTGGACTCGATTTCCGCCGCTTTCCCGACTCCGGTCCATGTTCCTTCCCGAGAAGATTTCGGGGGAAGAGCGCGGGCTCCTTTCTGGAACAGCGGCTGGTAATTAAGCCTTGCAAAAATCCTGCGCATGCTACCTCGCGCATTCTGCGATCGTCTGAGGAGAAACTTGTGAAAGTGAGAACGTTTCCTAGTTTCAAAAGGTTATTGTTTCAATGCATTTGACAGAAGAACGGGGAGGCTGACATATGCTGTTTAGCTTTGACTGTGGCATACCGTGGATTAACCCTTTAAATTTTCTTTTTTACGCTGCTGTTTTGAAGTGTTCAGTTACCAACAGCTTCTTCAGCAAAACAAGGAAAGACAAGTACGGAACATGACATACGGTTCTTAAGAACAGGGAATTGTCTTTTCAGTTATGAAAAGTTTTTAATTGACAGGTGACCCCCCGTGGATTTGTATCGTGATATGTGTAGATTTTTTGAAGTATTTCACAAAAGAAAATCGTATATATACAGTGCTACAGTCAAGGAGATTCAAGCTGGGAGCTTTGTGAGACCTAGATTACAGCTTATAACATCCTGTCTGGCAAAATGTGAGTTAAATGTGATAATTTGATTCCAAGGTGGGCTCCATACACTTTCAAATTTGAAGGCTTAATTAATTAATTAACTAATTAATTAATTAATTAATTTGAAGGCTTAATTATGCACATTCTCTACTGGTAAAAACTACCAAATTTACTCAAAAGCAACAAGCTCAGTTTAGATTGTATCCGTCGAATTGAACCTCTTTTGTAAGAGCAATTATACAGAATAATAAACGATACTTGATCAACTTGAATAGCTCTACTGTTATGAAATAGCACACATGTTAGTCGGTCGTTCGCCGGCGAAAGATAAATCGAGCAAAAAGTTTTCAAGGGTTAATTAAACACAATTTTTGTTGTCAAGAACTGATAAACAAACATTACTAATATTTTGAATATCTCTCCCCAAACTCCTCTCGACCGACATGAGGTTTCTTTGAAACAGACCACTTAGGATTTTCATAGCACGGCTTGGGTTCAAACTGGAACTCCTTTATAAAGCCTCTATAGTCAAACACTGGCGGAAAACGACAAAGCGTCGAAAATGGTTCTATAACGTTAATATCATACGATATAGTCAACGGGTCTCTGTCCCGCAAAATATGGGAAGATAACCAAAATTGTCGCATGGATCTCGGGTACGTCCCGTGAAGACTCATATACTGCATACATACATCCTTGTTAAGTAAAAAATTCTGATCTTTCCCGGCGCTTTTGTGGATGATACGTTTGTTGTCCATGAAATAAGTGACATTTTTGGCGCTGTCCATCATCCACAGAGCAACTGCTTGATCTCCGTACGGCGAGCAGAGAAGCGTTGAATTTCTTTTGTCCAAAATCTCCTCGATTAGGTCGCGTGTTAGAATCAGCCACGCCTCGTCCACGCGAATGATTTTGGGGTGACAGTGAACGAATCCCCAATAAAGTGCTTGCTTTGGACGGAAATTCAGCTCATATAAAAGGCGATCCAGGCAAAGAAAATGATCATCATCTATTCGCAGGAAAAAGTCAAACTTGTAACGTTTAAATGCCCAGTCCATGGTCTGAAGAAGCCTCTCCGCAAAAGCCAAATTATCTGTCCAGAAAATTAAGGCGATGGTTAGTTCTGGGAACGTTTTTAAAAAATATCTGTTTCACGATCTTAAAGTCGAGAGATCTAATAGAGCGCCAAAAGTATGTAGTCTCTCAAGGGATCAGGCAAGATATTTTTAAAACTGCTCGTATTTAAAAACTGAGATGTGGGAACATGATAGGTTATTTTTAAGTCTTCCAAACATTTGTATAAATCCCGCGGGAAAATTCCTAAAAATGGATGCTTATGAAACTGAAAACATTGGCCGGAATGCTTTACTAATTTCTGATAAAGTCCAGAAGAAATCTTTCGTAACAATGAAAACCAATCTTATGGGAAAAAAAATATTAACGTTACTGAAAACGCATCGAATGCCCCACTGAAAACCACATGTATGTGAAGTGGGCTCCCTGTTGAAAGATCTTTATTATTATATAATGTTTTAGGTCCACATGTACACTACACCGGAGCAATTTGAAAACGCAACAATCACTGGTCATTTTGGATTTATGTTTGAGTAAATTTCGGCTAAGGGAATGTCATAATTATCGTAACGTCATCATTTTTCGAAAAGTTCCGTTTTCAAAATCTTTTCTGTCCAAACTAAAACGCAAAGCCTGCGTTTTCAAATTCCTCCGGTTTGAAGAGCATTTTCGAAAAGCTCCGTTCAGTAGAGACGGATTGGTGTAGACGGAAAGCCTAGCCGGAGAATTCAAAGCTCCATTTTAAAATCCCTTCCTGTTCTAGCGCTCTCAAAACGCCATGTTTGTCCCCATTGCCCATGATACGCCAGGAAGCACCAATATGCGTGACTGACAAACAACCTCGAACACAGCCATTATTTAGAAATTAGGAATTTAATCATCTTATTTTCGATTTATTCTTATTTAGGCACGTTGCTCTGTCGTCGAGACAGAACTCAAGAAATTTGAGAGAAAGCATGCATGGCTGTGTCGCTGCATGGGATTTGTAATATAAACCGCGCTATTCTAAAATTTATATGAAATGATAATGACAACCATAATAACTTAATTACCGACACGCTTACCTTCAACGGAAAGGAAAACCAAGTCATCATTTTCTTCGTACTCTTTTACAACAGCATTTTTTGTTTTGTTATCTAAGCCTGCTTGATCGGTGAAAAATGCACAATAAACTTCCTCGGTCCTTTGTTTACATTCTGTGAACCACGTTTCCCTCACGGCGTCCCGTCTCGCTCTTCGGGCTGCGTGACTCAAAACTGCCACAAATAAAAGAACATTATCTGATCGCTTTCGTTGAAACAGGTAAGCGGAACTTGCTTCTGGTGAATCAACGTACAAAGCTTCTTTGATCTTCGAGTTCGGTGCCTCTATAAGCGAAGGCCAGTTGATCAAGACACCCACCAACAATCCCTCAAGGACAACCAGACAAAAAAGCACCATAATCACCGTCAAACGAGATTTCATTTTGTGTGTGAATATCTTCTCAACGACGAGAAAATTTCACGTTAGTCAGTACGAATTCGACTTCAAGAGATTTGTCCATGCATCGGGTTTGCAGAATAATTTTCATTACTTGTGTTTGCAAAGAGGGAATTTTTTCGACTGTCGTCTGGTAGCCAGGAGACAGCGCAAAAGGACTGGGGAGAGTAAATAATGTCGACCATGTTGGGGCCGGAAACGGCCTGGGGCTCGAGATATTTACCGGGTGTTATAGCAAGTGGAATCTACTGCATTCTAATGTTATGCAGGCATTTCCCAAAAGACCCTACGAAAGGTCATTCACTTCACGTGAGAAAATAACGCTTTAAAAAAGACCTTTTCACGGTTTCTGACGCCATCTTGCTTGGGGGCAAACACGGCAAAAATTGCTGTAAATGTATGAGAAAAGTTATAAGTTCGATGCCCAATAAGTTGAGTGACTGACGTTCTAAATATTAAACGAGTCATAAGGAACAGATATCTAGCAGGGGGTTTGTTTGACGAAATTTGAAGAACATAAACTTGATGTCAGGCGAGAAATTGTACTTTTAATTATTTTTCATACAAATGTCTCTAAATTTTACCGCAATTTGCGACTCGGCTTTACAGACAAATATATGGAGAAATGAAAACCTTAATCATTGTGGCTTTTCTAGCGAGGCTATTCCCCTTAAATGAGATTTTATTCGGTAACTTCAGTTTTTAATTCATAAATACTTCAGAACTCGAATTTTCCGTGAGTTGTTAGATATCAGATTCTCCATTTTCCCCATACTTTTGTAACTTTTGCCGTATTTGCCCCCCAAGCAAGATGGCGTCAGAAACCGTGAAAAGGCCTATTCTATCAACTGATTGGTCAAGCAACGTTTCCGTTGATTTTATTGGTCGTGAGGACGTGAACAGCAAATGTAACGCAACATGAGAACTGTAGAAGGTAAATCTCGTGCTCAATTTTAATTAACACACTACAGGAAAGTTCTAACGCTCAATGTCTAGGATAACGTGAAGAGTACGACTGCTCTGAGCAGCCATTCGATGTCAATAACTATAAAACTTACTGTGTTAATAACAAATATATAAATACAGTAAAGGATCTACGAAAGCCTTTCCTTGTCAATAGTTTAGGTTTTACATACAACGTACGAGTAAGGTTATATTACAAAACTCCATTTGTACACTAAAAACATTTCATCTGCATTTGAAAAATTTAATACATCGTACTACATAACTAATAGCCTACGTACCAAGCGTTCCCGTATGTAGAGGTTTTTCCGCATTCTGGCTAAGAGTTCTGAACTTCAATTTAGCTGAGCAAGTCTTTTATTGGCCAAATCTCGGCTACAAATCAAAGGATGATTTCCGACTAACACTTTAATAAACTTGAGAAAAGTCGCACGGACGTTTTCCAAGTGTGCCCTAATGTAACCCGTTTCAATCTTCTCCAATTTTGTCCATCCATGCCCCTTTTTGTTTTTCTGTATTTCTTTTGAGTTCTTCTACAGTTTTAAGCCGTTATTGTCACATCCAGTTGATAGAAGTGCTTAAAACTGAACGACCAAACCTCTATGATATTTCTGTCATAAAACAAGAGATCTCTTGCATCTGACAAAACAACGCTCGTTTTCATTGGATGTTTTTAAGACACGTGACACTGACTAACTTGAAATCTTTCAGCGCGGGTGCCAGCCCGCAGAAAGTCGATTGCATTTTAAAACTGAAGACAAGCTACGTGATCAACATCACGTGATCACAAGTGGCGTGATAAACTGATATTATGTTTGACACGTGATTGGCGGGATACGTCAGAGTGAGTCTTATTCGCTACTAGTCAAGACGACTTTCAAAAGAGTAAACTGCGACATTCTACGACGGGACATGACGTTGAACAACTTTAAAACAGCAATGGTCGCCAAAATTCACTTATTATGATCTCGCACAACCAAGCACCTTTAAATTTTCATTTCGAAGCATTTTCAGCTGTACAGGTGACTACAGCTATAAACTTGTACAGCGCCAAATAAAAACATTCACCTTTAAATGACTCTTTTCTACTTTTGCGTTAGGTTTGTTAGCGAGCATCACAAATGGAACGGCGAGTGGAAAAAAAAGCTTTGCTTTGATTATTACTTATGTTTGCTTATTATTTTATATCCAACAAAATAGTAAATATTAAAAAAAAAAAAAGCAAATAGATAATAACAAAAATAAAAATTCAGCTGTAAACAAAAGACGGCATGAATGATGCCTCGGATCAATATGTTTCCGTTGACTAAGTCACGTAAAACGTCGCAATTCTCCATTAAACATTACATCATATAAATTTCAAATACAGTTCGTCATGTAACAAGTAGAATTAAATAAAATAAAATAAATTCAATTGATTTTTGATTCGTTTAACGATAGAGAGTTTCACATGGATTAAGCGCATATGTTAAGTATTTCTGTATTTCAAAATCAGTTATTCATGTTTTTTTTTCATATCTAGTGAATACCCCTTGTGATAAGTTATGTTTCTGCTTTGATTTATTATTTTTTTATCATTGTTTCAAGTGTTGTAACGTGTTTTTCAGCATTAAATAAAAAATAATTTTTCAAAAAATGAGTGTCACATGGAGTGATCACCTACACATAGCTGTGTTCCACTCAACGATTGGCCGAAAAAAATCAGCCTAGTACCCAGGCTACGACGACGAGGCGAATTTATGACGTCACGCGTCGACTCTCGTTCCCAGGGCCTTATTTCTGCTTCATCATCAAGTTGAAACAAAAGAAGTCATGTCCGTAGCGGTGTTTGGATATCTGATCTTAATAGACCAGTTTCGATATATTAAAATTCAGCCTAAAACAATAGACCTCAATACGAGGGTCTGGGGAATAACTACAGAGTTTGTGGGGTTTATTCCCCAGAGCCTCGAGATGAGGTCTATTGTGTTAGGTTGAATTTTAATATATCGAAATTGGTCTATAAGCATAGATTTTACAATGTTACTTCTCCGTTTTCTCCTCGAACACATCCTTTCCAAACAGTTCGAAGTTCGTCAAAAATACTTCGTTAAGCGTCGTATTTTCAACTCTCTTCTGGGTAAACCACGGTGTTTCGTGTTTAATATATTACTTCAAGAAATTCCCCCCTTTTTAAAGATGATTTCCAGTCCGTACTGTGCACTCTTGAGAGTTTGTCTAAGTTTTTTGTTTTGTTTCTTGTATGACGTCACAAAATGTGAACATTTCGCAACTACCTACATGAAGTAATTTCAATTCAATAAATGAAGTTTTATGTCAACTGCCATTATGGACGCGAAACTTTATGTTTCGTTCTTTCTCATCTCAGTTGATGAAACAACTTTGCAGCTGTAAAAATCAATGAAGCAGTTGGGAAAATGATTTGAAAGGCCTCAACATAAGGCACGTGGTTCGTAAAGAGTAACATCGATTCGCGTTCCATCGAGTGAGATTTTTTATGTTTATAAACATTACGGTGCGGAGACTGCGCAGTACGGACTGGAAATCATCTTAAAGGTCATAAGTCTGCTCTCTACAGTCATAATATAAATTACGGATTGATTAGATTTTGATTGGCAGGTGTCAGTAGCCATCCCATAGAGCTACCTGTTCCTTCTTGAATTTTCTGCATGGACACAAGCGCATGGTTGTTGGACTCGTTCCTGTGCAACTGAACAGAAGGGTCTGGGTCTGAACAATACAGGCCTTGGGCTCTCTTTGGAAACCTGGGGCGACCAGGGAGGCTAGTTCATCGAGACGACTTGTGTTACAAGAAAAACCATTCCTATCACGCAAACAACAATGTGTCACGCAATGCACGAGCAAGAGTAACGGACAAACAGTAGACATTTAAAGAGGGTAAATAAACTAAATAAACTCTGATAGAACAAGGTAAAGAGTAATATGTAGAACACGTTTTCACTCTAGCCAATTACAAAGGACACAGGCAATCCAGTTGCAACTCACACCACATACAGTTATTTGTAAAACGGTCACGATTTCTTTTACGTGACTCAAACAAGTGTTATACTTACTCGACTAATGCAGAACGAGAATTAATGCTCTTAAAGAACTCTGGTTCACACACCATGCCTGAAAACAACAAAGATAACAAACAAATTTTGATACGACTGACTCAATGAAGAATGTGCAAACTGGAGAAAATTCAAAAGAATTATTTTCACCAGCTTTTAAGGGAAATCGAACATTTATGACATCTTGAGACTGGTGCTGTGAACTGTATTATCTTCAGAGGTTTTGTTTAAAGGGCTCCAATTTAATAGGGAAATGAATTCTATCAAAAAACTGCCCAATCACGGTTAAACCCATTTTTTTATTGTCCCATTTTGATTGGCAGGTTAAGACGCAACTTTTGGCAAAGCCTTAAAGAATTCTGTACAAGGGGGTCAGAGCCCCCTTAAAGTTTCGAAAATTCAAGGGGCTCTGAACCACACGTACAGAGTGGTTGAGTGGGTTGGAAACTTCTGTAGGGCTATCAAACGCTAAAGCGTACAAACGTGTACATTTACGTTACACTAACATACCTTTCGCGAGGCAAACTTCTTTACACGATTCTCCAGCTTCTCCCTTCACGGGAATCAAGGCTTTCAAAGGAGGCCAATGATTCTGATAACAGAAATCCTACACACCAAAAAAAAAAAGTTCATCACGGACTTTCTACTTAACATATCAAAAGAAAAAAGCACATTGAATGAATACTTGCTCGCACAAATTTGGAAACCTAGCTACAACCAATTTTTCTTTCTTTCAAAGTGTACTTTGATTTACAAGAAAGAGTACAATCAAGATATACAGATGTTTTCAACTGAGTACCGTTAAACCGTAACTAAATTAATAACTCTAGCCAGTCACAAAGGACACAGGAATCTATTGAACAAATCAAGGTTGAAGTAATTACATGTAGCTGACTAAAAGCGCGGGTAAACGAGTGCGAGCGAGTCAAGATTTGCTGTGGTTTTACTTCTGATTGGATGAAAAAGTGGCGCGAGTTTTTATAAGCCAATCGTGTAGTGTAACAATGCAAAACCAATTACTTTTTTTACACTCAAAAGAAAACCGCTCTAACATTAAATTAACACACGGCTTCTTAACCTAACGTGAAAATGAGAAACATCACTTAATCACCTGATTCTGAATCAAAGCACTGACTCGTTCTAACATTCCTTCATGAGTAAACTCAAACGGAAGATGAGGATCAACCTAGAAGCAAAATGAAAACAAAAGAGATAAGGCGGGTAATGGAAAGAAACGGCCACGTAAGGTTTTGCTCTAATGTACCCTGGGTAACCGGTAAAGTTCTCACAGGCCTTTCACGTGACATCAGACATTGCACCAATTGGGGCTTTAGATCGCCGGAGCCTTCTTCATGTAAAGAGTGAAAGTTTGAAGTGAAGAAAGAAAACGAATTTTACTCAATGAACTTGTAATTTCATATATTTTAACGAGTTTCACTGTAAATGTAAAATTAAGCATCAAATC